ATTGCAATTTTCTAGCTGTCTTCACCATATCATCTTTAGAAATTATTTTTCTGCACTCTTGCCTACTCTGGAAATAAACAAGGTCGCGCCCGAGTGGGACAACCCTCGTATACCGAATTAAAACGCGTTATGGTATTGATTTGTTACACCAGCAGTGCAAGTTTCTGAAAGTCACTCTGACACCTTTATAGTCATTTCCAGATTTCTTTTCTTAATGGAGTCTATTGTTATTCTATTTATGTATTTATTTCCACAGGTACGTTCCGGAAGGTTACATGACCACGTGCGGATTCGATCTTCAGTCAAAGGATCCCTATAATCGCGCGTACATTTTGATTTACTGGATTGGAGCGTATTTGGTGCCGTTGTTGGTGATCGGATTCTGTTACGCGTCCGTCGTGAGGTATGTGTCTGTCAACTGCCCAGACTGGCGCGTGCAAGTCATCCGATCCGGTGACACGACCCAAGCCCAAGGGTTCCGCTACCGTCGCCGCAACGAATTCCGCATCATCAAGGCGACCGTACCGCTCGTCGTGTCCTGGGTTCTCACTTGGACCCCGTACTCCATCCTCGCCATCATGAGCGTCATGGGTTACGCTCATCTGATCTCGCCTACGATGTCCATGATCCCGGCGTTGATCGCCAAGACGTCCGCCACTGTGAACCCGATCCTGTATGTGGCGAACCACAGAGTGGCCAGGTCCGAAATGGCTCGCAAATCCGCATTTTTCCGGCGCTTTTTCCGACCCCGTCGACGTCAAGCCGTCATTTTCCGGCCCCGGCGATCCTTGCAATACGAGCGGCCCACCTGTCTGGGAACGGATATTGAATTTACAACGAGAGGCACCAACTGACATGAATTGCGGCCTGGCAGTGAGGCCGCGACCTCGGACCGCTTGCCTTCGGTCGGCGAAGAGCTGGTGTGAAAATTTCAACGCTGCAATTGAAAAAAAGAAAGAAAAGCGATACGCTCAATTTCCAGGGAACTTCTAAAATAATGTTCGATCTTTTTTCGGAGTCCAGTACGTCACTCATCCAGTGTAACCCTTGTCTCATTGAGAACATTTCTGAAATGCTGACACATCAGCACGCTCGAACGACTGTGGCAAGCAAGAATCAAAACAGCAACCGAATGCTGTCAAAGCTTCCTACATACATTTGAACTTCAGGAAACATTTCCTCATGAATTCAAGGGGATGAAGTGATGAAATAAATAACGCCTGAAAATATACGCTTCGATGATCTAGGATCTAGGTCATCAAACTTAAAAATTAATGAATCCTTCTGAAATAGCAGAAATATAGAAGGATATATAAACCCCTTATATATACATTATTACAGATTGTTACGGATGTTGCACGACTTCTTGAACTGAAAATGAACCAATAAACTTTTAGAGGTGTACTGTATATGAGACCATATTGCTGACTGCTCAAACTCGTGGTATAAAAACTTTTAAAATGTATATCGTATCAAGAAAGAAGATATTTTCTTTATTCCAGGTCGAAACATATATATCAGAGGCTAACATTTATTTTCAAGAAAATGTTTGTCACCATAATATTGCGTAGTCTGAGGAAACAGTGCTCAAAAACAGGAATGAACAAGAATAACTCAGTTATATTTTATCTCAGAGATCGTTCAGCTGGAGGGAAGAAAAATGAATTTTTGCGCAAAAAGTGCTGCGCACATAAGTTTAAAAAAATACAAATTAGTGCTCTCGGAGGTCGTCGTTGGAAAATTACTGAGAGAAAAAATTACTTCACTTTTCTGTCAACCTATGTATATGGAATAGACAAACCCGAAGTTTTGGGAGGGCAACGTGAGAAAATAATGCCAGCATGTATAGAGACATAATGGCAGAGAGAAACATATCGGTGACAAAATGCAGTGGTGTGAATCGTGCGAATATAAAGGTAAATTGTGAAACAAATAAATTCTCTTTCCCAATTTCGTCTTTTCAGTGGATACACGACTGCATTGAAAATAAAATTGAAATTTTCGAAAAAAAAATTTTCCATCACTATTCTTACGATCACTTCCCTTTAATCAATTTTGTCAAATCCAGAAAGACTAGCACGATGCGACGAGAATCCGTTGTATGTGAAGGAGAAAGGATGGGATTTATAATCGAAATAACCGAACAATTATGCGTCTTATTGATGTGGAGAATATTTCAATTTCGAGTTTCGATATATTGTTCTCATCTTGGATCGAGTCAATAACTGATGTCCATATCAGTAGAGTTGAATTCTTTCTCCAGGTTTTTTTTTCTAATCTCTACTGCACGTGCTCTCTCGTCGTTTCCTCCAAATTTTATCCATGCTACATTGCATGTTTATTTTTTCTACGCCGACATTTTCTTCTAATGCCCCATTGGAAGATGAATACCCAAGGTGGGAAAATTTCGGAAGAAAGAAAAGCACACCGTCATTCATCAGCAGACGTTTATTTCATCAGAAAATCACTCAGGGCGAAATTCAAGTTCATCTTTTTTTATATTATGACGGCTATAAAATTTTCATTATGTTTAAAATTCTGTTCATCGGCAAAACCTGAGTAGATTTTTGAATGTGATTTTTTTCAAAACTCATGTTCCATTTGACTGAAGCGGATGTTTTCGGTGTCGGGCGATGGAATAGCCACCATTTCTTCGTGTTTCTTGATGTGCATGAGGACTTGACGGTTGAGCTTGGGTGAGAAAATGAAAAAAAAAATCATTTTGACCACCCGAAGCGTTGTTTTCAGCATGAAAGTAAAAACTTACTTTCTGGCGCGCAGATGCACTGTGATTGAAAGAGGGCGTTCTATATATCGCATATGCGATTTTCCAGATTTTTTTTCAAGTGTATGAATGGGCGGAATGTTGACCCCATTTGTCGGTATATTTTTCCTTTCGGTAATTAAATGTGGACTTTGTGGATTGAACATGTCTGGACACATTTACTGACGATAATATGCTCTATTTTACAGATTGCGTAAGATGAGCATAAGTTCTGTTATGCCTGACACGTACCAATCTGAAAAGTACTATCCATGCAGCAACAATTATATTATTCCTTGGAATCAAAAGGAACATCCGTACAGTACTTCAAAATATTCGTGATTGATTGTCATGGCATGAATGGTTTCTCATCAGACTTAGGAGAAGAGGAAAACCTGACCAAAACAAGTACAATACCGTACATGCAGTTAAAATTAATTCCACTCCATGCGTTTTTTTAATACTGTGGTAACCTCTTCAAGTGAAACTTCAATCAATGAGCCAGCAAAAAAAATTGAATCATGGAGGTTTTGAGCTATGGAAACAGCTATTTTTGCTGCTTACATGTGAATATAACTTCACAGGGAACTAAAATTTCTGATCTTTTGGGCCTTAAAATGCAGAATAGATGAGTCAACAGGATACTGAAATCAGAGGTAAGGGTTAATTTGCCCAATTAGTCGCTCACTTCTTTTAGAACAGCATCAAGTAAATTTTTGTGTTCCGCTTTCCTGGGTAACCAGAATAAATTCCCGAACTCCTCAACAAATTCAAGTTATCGAGGTCTGAGGGGAAACGTTTTGAGATTCTCATTAAGGAGGTCCAAAATGAACTTGTGTACAAAATTTACGTACACAAGCATGAAAATTTTCCGCAAAATGCCAGCAAAACCTGCAGGCTTATTAACATGTGTTCAGATGGTACAGTACAGTACTTCGTCGGACACAGGTATCAATCGTAAAGTGCATGTTTCTCATTTTGAGAAGGAAAAATCATACAGTGCGAGTCTCTTCTGGCGATAAAAGGTACAGTGTGGCACTATATACACGTCGACTCAAACCCGATTACAATGTAGCAAGAACATTAGAATTCGTCTACCATGGAAAATTGCATATACAGCACAGTACCCCATAACATGTCGACTCGTTCACGAACACATGGTGGTCAGTGTGTATCGCATTAAAAAGTGCGCAAGAGACTTGAAGCACATACCGTATTTACTCTGCAACGCATTCAACTTGAATTCAATGAGCGCTCTGAAAGACGGACACTTGGGATTTGAAGCAAATATCGTTCGTTTCCCACGGGAGCGACGAAGAAGCTCATACTCCAAGGAAGACCCGGCTCGACAGTGACAGCATCAAGTCGGAAATCGAAGATCCACTCGACACGTGGAGATCCACTTGAATTGTGCGATAGATCAACAGTCCGTGCCTGCAATCTTCGGATGAAGGAGGAGATTTCAAAAAGGCTCCCAGTGTCGTGAAATCAACTACCGTGCATATACAGAAGCAGGACACACGGTCGTCGAAAATCTGGAATCATTCGCATTATCCAGATCACGTCAAATAGATCGTTTCACATGAAGTCGTACGCGAGGAACATGAGGTTTTTCCAGAGCGATCGGAAAAAACTCAATTCCGACGCATTCATTTCGCGCCATCTTTACACCTTGAAGTATCACAGGCATCGCACGTAACTAAAACTAACTAGATACCTCGCGAATTCAACTTTGAAATGCCAATTTGGGATGTCCTCATGATTTTCGTTGTCGTCGTCAAGTTCGAAGCGCCCTCAATCCACCTTTTCCGCATCCTTACATGGGATTCACAATTTCACGTGGACTACATCTCCATAAGAACAAGTTAGTGGCCCATCAGCTTCCGCAAGAAACTCCTACATTCAAATTTAACCCAATCGGGAGTAAGCGTAGTAACGCCAGAATGACAATCGTAGAGGATGAATCCTCTCTCTAAAATTTCCTTCAGAGTTCAGACGTTCGAAACGGTGAAAAATAAGACTTTCAGGTGATTTCATTGAAGGAACGAAGAGGAAGTCATACGTTCTCTTTCTACAGAAGATCTTGGCGCACATCACTCCTACCACCATTGTATTTGGTCTTCTTAACTTCCAGACGTCGAAAAAGACGCAGTAAGTAAGAGGCATCAATTATTCTTGAGAGATACTTGCGCGAATGAACGACCAGATTTTAGCATTTAAAAAACTTGGCGTAGAATGTTCAAAGAAACCATTCGCTTACTTCTTGCATTTCTCGCCACCAGTCGTTTTTCATTCGCGCATTCATTTATTCACAAGATGCGAGGAAATACATAGGTCAATGACAACAGGTGAGGGCAGCGCGAAGAAACTTCAGACTGTGTGGAGAAAAACGCCACTTCATCGATATTCCTACCTAACATAACGCACAGCACCAGCAGAAAAAGCAAAGAAAAATCCACCGGATCACAGAGAACAAAAGGTTTGAAAATTCATAAAGCTCGCGACCCGCAGAACCACAACAGAACACAGGGTACGTCAGGGGCGGCTCAGCTAGACAGACCTGACTTTGCTTTTCAACTGATGCGCGCAACGACATACAAGAGCTGTTTTCATGACAGTGCGCAAACTTTTATCACGACCCGAAAATCTTCTTGTCCGCCTCTTTTGCGTATCCGACCGCAAAGCCTTAAGATCATTCCTCAACATTCTACGGGTGCGGACACCAGGCGATTACATGCTTACACACTCGGGACACAATGCATGCAACTGCTTGAAGCGCCTTTACAAAAGATGTTCGTGGTTACCCGCAGGTCTAGATGGAGTGATACGCGGATTCATCGCGAGAAGACAACATCACTCTGGGCGCGGGAAAGCCGCATCCCGAAGAATATCCAGAAAAGCTTTAAATCAACCATTCGCGAAAAAATCCTCATAGGCAGAGCTCTCGTGGGCTTCTTCACTGATTTCAAGTGTGGCACGAAGCGCTCGTGGATGAATTCCAAAATAAACAAAACGAAAACGTAAACCTTCAATAGTATTACAGAACTCGTTCGTTCACGCATCAGAGCATCCAAAAAAAGCACTTTCACAGAGAGGACGACGTGGCGCATTATTGGCCCACGATGACGAGAAACCAAGAACTTAAGCGACAAGTGAAGATTTTGCGAGGAGAAAGAAACAGCCCCTTGATTTCTCCTCTTTCTGACGGATCTTCAACAGAGCTATCACATGGCGTACTTCCGAGTCCATTCACGGGCCATCTCGTTGTACTTCTGCTTGTCCGTTTTGTAAATACGAGCGATCTCGGGCACCAAAGGGTCATCGGGATTCGGATCACACAGCAATGAGCAGATGGACAAGAGCACTGCGCAGAACCACAACAAAATTCGAAATTGAAATCTATCCCGTTACTGTGATTACAAAATCGAAGTTGAAGGAACGCACTAAAGGCTAGTGCGAGACGTTGAACAGAAGGATGGGAACTCGGAATATCATGTGGAAATTTTGAACTGTTCACTGAAGTCCCGAGGGATGGTTAAAATTAAAATTAATCGCGGATGAACATGATGGAACAAGAGATCATCGGAAACACGCTCTCAACAAGTTCATGCGGGTCACGTCACAAACCTTTGGAAATGGTGAGGGCCGGCGACCATTGAGAACGAAGTATATCCAAGCAAATGCTGCCATTGCTGTTGATGTTGGGATGATAAATCCTCGTTGTAAACGCAACCTATGACGGGAAACCGAAAAAAATCACTTGACATTCGTTTCGCTCATCAACCTATACGTCAACCATTTTTCACTCCAATCATGACCTGGTTAAAATTAGGCACCAGCACTCAACAAGATCTTCGAACACCTCTCGTTATTAAATTTTTCTCGAACAAATGTACAGTTCTAGCAATAATGAAAAACTGGTTCTGAACGACAGAACCATCTAAATTCAAATTAAACTTCAGCCATAGGAGCTGCTCACAGAAGCTTGAGGCAAGAAAAAATTCAGGATTGGACAGCAACCCTAGTGACTTCAAAATTTACTTCTATATTTCACCAAAGTATTTTCTTCAAAATATGCACCGTTGCATTTTTGAAGGAACTAATCGACAACAATCCTAAATATTGTTAAGAATTTTCAAGAACACAGATTGCTTCGATTGGTCCCATATTTCTATGACCCAGTTTTGACCGATTACATACCACAGATCTCCTCAATCACAGTGACATTTTAGGAACGTACCTTCGGCGGCTTGAACGGATAGTCGGTGGGAAAATGTATCGTCAAGAAAAAGACCCCTCCTTGGTATGGGCTGTCCGGCTGTTGAAAAAAAAAAAAAAAAAAAAAAATGAGAAAAACTCCGAGAAAATTTGGATCATTACTGAACTTACGGGCCCCATAATTGTCGCTTGCCAGTGGAAAACTACGAAGAAACAAGAACGGTAGACAAGAGCGATTAGTGAGCACAAATGCTCGTTATTCAACAAAAACTTACGATCATCGCCGACAGGGCCCGCCGAGCACTGCGCAGGGGGATCACGGTTCAAGTCCTGCAGCTCCTAAAAATTCTGAACAATCAAACTTTGAACTGAGTTGCGCCAACATGTGTCAGCTCACCTTGTTGATGCGTTTGAGAGCCATCGCGATATTTCAAGATGCTATTCGCAAATTAAATCAAGATCTTCACTTTCGAACACGTCACGCCTGCAATTTGAGAAAAGAACAATTTTCAATCTCAGCAACCGGAAGAACATGAACCATTCGACAGCAATCCATAAAACAACGGATCCACTCTTGTTCCTCAAATAAAAATTTTGCGAGGACTCATCAGGTTTAGGCAAACAAAATCATTAAAAAAAATCGATGAATGGGCATTCCTCAAATCTCATAGCACGAGACAGCGATATCAAACGCATTTTATCGAAAGATTCATCACGTTTAACGCGCCGCATAAATCGAACAGTTCGAATACCGAATGTAAAAGGCAAAGGATTGCACATTTAAAACAGAAGATCGCACGAATAACAATTACAAAGAATAAACAAAAATGGTCGCCCTTGTGGAGTCACGCAACTTCTTCGAACTCAGTTTCCTCGGTGTGTACCATATCGCAGCACATGCAGAACAACGGGAAAAAAACGCAGGACTTCGCCGTCCGGACAAAAATTGGTCCACTGATAATCCTTGATTTAAGATGACGAGGCGCGATCGCTTTTCGCACAACGCACGATTACTGTAACCGCAAAGAACCGAATCACCAAACAGCAACTGCATAGGGAATATTTAAATTTTTTTTAAACACGGACGACGACAATTCATTTCATTGAAAAAGAAACGAACCTAAAACAAAATATTGATACCCAGATCACGGATTCGAAGACTTGACAGTTCAGTCATTTCAGATTGGTTTAATCTTTGCCTGGGCTTGAAAAACTTCGGCATCGCAAGGAAAAACTCGGCTTTTCCCCATTCCCATGTATTTTTCCACATGGCAGAAGGCATTCACAACTCACGTTTCAGTTTTCGAGGGATTTAAAAATTTCTCTCGCGAATTTACGGAAAAACACAAAGCTTTCCGCAAAAGGAAAAGGGATCAAAAAGATGATTTCCCTGGGAAGCCGGAACATTCGCTATGCTCACATTGAGAGGAAATTCACTCAAGAACTAGTCCTCCGCAGATCGCCCGAGGGTAAAATCAATCATACTCGGAAATGATGAATGAGGAACACCGACGGGTGTAGGTAAAGGGACTGATGCACATGGAATTGAATAAACTGATCCTACAGCGGATTGCATACCGGTTCACTTTTCAATCACAGCAGTTGCTTCGTCAAACCAATTAATGGCCTTTTCCGTGACTGGATAAAACCACTGAACATAACTTCACTGAAGAAGCAACAGACTTCAACGCCCATTCCCACGATCTTGAGCTATAAGTCAACTAGTTGAATAAAACTGATCGAAAATTCAACCCAAGAGTTGACATCAACTAGAGCCTAAGATTGTCCGAGGAAATGACCGCAAAGACAAACCAAGCAATCATTTCTGGCGCTGAACTCAAGAAAGTTGCCGGCAAGACCTCCGCAGACATTTTCGAAAGGGTCACCCGATCAACACAGATTCCATCTCATCAGTGTAAGTCTAACTTTCCCCGTGCTCGCTTCAAGTCGCATCGCGCCTATCCAACACCACCTCGCACATAACTAACTTCGATATGGAACAGAATGCCCAGCCTGTCAAACCATTGTCCATACAAGCGTGTAAGGAGTGGAGACCAACGAAGTTGACAAGCACACCATAGAGAACACGGGGCTCTAGCAACGATGAAACGGCGATCACAACATTGAGAAAAATAAATCACAAGGATAAAAATACAGATCTCCGATTCGTGAGCTGGTCATCAGTTTCTACTGGCAGACCCAGGGAAGATAAAGAGAGCCGCAGGGTGCTGCAAAAAAATTGTTTTACTGCGAGGGCCCTCACAAAAAAAAAAAAAAAATCCCGCCATGACGGCCTGGGGAGAGCGTCAAACGAGAACCAAATGCCACTGAAAATAAGTGTCTTGAAAGCTGGACAACAAAACAAATCCTCTTAGCAAACAGGCACGCTTCATCACACGGCAAGACAAGCTTTAAATACATTAAACTAACGCAGCATTACCATTTAAGGTCAGAAGCAAATGCTGTTTTCATTCAAAGAATCGAAAGGTTACCTACGTAAGAGTGAAGTGTACACAACTTTGAGGAAACACGTGGGAAGACTTTCTTCCGTTGACGTTGCATACGTGTCTCTCGACTAAAGTCACAGAATACTTCACTTACTGCGATCATCAATCGGTTTTCAACGACATTTAGATGTTACACGAGACAAGATGAGAGAGGGGGCTGTATCAAGTGACACGTCACCGAGATCAACTTGTAGGAATTCCACACTTCCTTCAATTACCACACGACCCTGCACAATTAGCATTTGAAAATCAACTGAATCAATAAATGGGACGACACGAAAAAAGTTCAATTATTTCGATGAGAAGTGCAATCGGCTCAAAATGCGACAATAGGCACTTGACGTCAACGACATCCACATGCACATCATTCTCGATCCCATAGTAAAAAAAATTGTCCAATGATTCCCGAAAGCGGGCCCCTATTGCAAGAACTTCAGGAGGTACTTTATGAGGCGACAAAGAAAACTTAAGTGCTCAATTGCACAATCACCGAACTCTCTTCCCATTTTCATTGGATTGATTGATTAGGCAACGCCCACAGGTAACTAGCTTCAATCGCACATAAGTTTGAGTAGCATCAGCTGTTTAAGGGAACCCCTGAGACCATACGAATCCGTGAGCACTAGATTTTCGCGAAAAAGTAATTTCATAACTACTTTCACGCCCATATTTTTCGAAGTCGGAAGAAATTCACTACGAGTAGGCTGCGTCTTGGTCTCGGATAAAATAGCATTCGCATTGACTTAAAGTGGACACGATTTACAACAGTATAAAAGGCTAAAAAGGTATGTCTTAAAAATTAATTCAGTAAAGCTCCACCTAATCAAAAAGTGCACTTGTTGCATGTAATACGGATCACGTGACAACGTCTGCCGTAAGAGGAAATTAATTCGCAAATGACCGACACAAACAAGGTTACTCCGACGAGTGTGCAGGCAAACAAGGTCAAAATAGAACCACAATTCCTACGAACGCCGTCGGTTAATTTAGTTACCCGATGCCATTGCCAATGACGCTCATTCTTCGTCGGTTTACAAGGCTAAATGCGATTGAAGTTTAAAAACTCCCGAGCGTTATTCCTTTCGTCATTCAAACTCATCTTTAGTAGAAAAAACACAGTTGCGCACGATTTCACCCTGAACATTTCAATTGATCACTCACGCAACTCCAACCACTAAGAAAATTCAAGCTAAGAAAATTAACTAATAATCCAGTTCGGGAAGACAATTGAAACGAAGAGAAAATCTCGAATTTTGCTTGATCTGAAGCAAAGGAACCAAGTACTAACGTGCTCCTTCCCAACAGTTATCACAAGGTTATCCCTTCATTCATGTTGACCTTGAATAAAAGTAAGGGCAGTAAGAGGAGACCTCATGGATCACAAAAAAATAATACCCCGTTCACCTGCCCATTACTCCACTCGTGATCCATGATGCAACTAAATCCTAAGGAAAGTGTTCGAAGCCGCACAGGTTCCGCGCAAGACTTTGGCGCCCCCCCATAGAGGAAGATTGTTACGTGAAACTGAACCAGATATGATACCATAGCGTTGACTCTGGTCAGCGGCGATATGAGCTACCAGGAGTACCCGACCCAGAACCAGCATTGCTCGGCGGATTTCGAGGCTGTCCAGATCCACGGAAACCTCCACGATGTGATCCACGCCCGCGCTCCACACCCAGGCCGCCTCTTCCACCGCGTCCACGTCCGCTGTCCGAGTATCGCCCTCCATGACCATCCGAAGAACTAACCACCGAGCTACGAAGACTGTAAGACCTCGCTTTCTTCTCCTCGACATTCAATCTATGATCATGGTATGTGATAGGATCCTTGGCCTGTAAATACGACAGAAAACTCAAGGTAAGCAATGAAGTCGCGGAGTACAGATGGAAATAGAATCGAAGAGGCGCAACTACACGACGTTCAACGATGATTTAGCAGAACACCGAATTTCTGAATTTAGTACAGACATCACAAGAATGCCATTCAATCAATCAAACAATCAAGGATTCTTTAAAAATATTTACCGCTTTCAGAAGGAGGTCTTGAACAGTTTCGGGACAATCGAACACGACGAATCCAAAGCTTGGATATGGCCGATCTCCAGTCCATGAGCGGTTGGGTCCTCCTGTTGGCGGCAGAAGTCTAACTTCCAAAACTTTACCGTACTTCGAAAAACATTCCCTCAAGTCCTGATCTGTAACCGACTGTGGAATATTCCCAACAAAAATCTGCTGGGAATCGCTGTATATCGCTCCTGACCGTCGTCGATCGTCCACTTTCATGGGGCCAGCTAAACGAAGTAAACAAAGTGAGAGATGAGGTAATGATCAAGTCGGAATCTTGAAACTACCTACCGTCATCTACTAAACGAGTACGTTCTCGCAAAACGGTCGAAGTTCGCGTACCGTTGTAGCTTCCACGAGTGCTAGGATTCTTCGGGTACCGACTATTCTCTTGAGAACCGTTCAGAATGACATTGTTATTCGGCGGACTCGTACTACCAGCATGATTCGAAGTTGAACCCGATGAACACGTTTCATCCACGCGAGGATTTGGAGGTGCTGTCATGGATATTGTGGAAATCGGGGTAGGGGGCAATGACGTAGTCTTGAAAAGTGTAGCGAAAGTTTTGACAGTTCCTGTGAATGTACGTTGAACTCCAGGAATAAGCTATGAAAAAATATACTTGAATACGCACGAGGTTCAGGGCTGTGAACTACGGCCTTATTCTCCTTTTCTTCAGAAGCATTCGGCATCACTTCATCGTCATTCTTCTGGTCCATGTCGATCTCCTCACTAACTGCTGTTAGAACAAGTTCATGATCTGCTGTGAAAAGCTGCATTATCATGAATCTACTTACCACTTGTGTCAATCGCATCTTCCTTGACATATCCTGTCGATGACGTGTCCAAGTCAGTTTGAGGGGCGATCTCCACGGATGCTCCAACGTTCACAGGTTCCTCGGGATAACTTTGGACAACGGTGCTTTCAACACTCAAGTGAGTCGCTGGAGCAGAAACGGGTGTAACAATAGGTTCCTCAGGTCCTTGAACACCGTTCATATTGGAAACTGCATTTGGAACGTTTCTTTGCATAGGCATCGTATCCGAAAAGGTACCTTCTTCATCATCATCCATTATGCCGTCTTCCGTAGGGTCATCGTCAGAGAATACTTCGTCCTGAAAAATTGTGAATCATAATTGTAGCAGGCTAAGCAAGCATTCAAGGAAAAAAAACTTGCCTGATATCGGAATATGTCGTTGTGGACGTAATACTTCTTCGGACTTTGAGGAGCCAAGACGAAAGTTTGTATAAACCTCCTCATAGGTGATCCGCGGTTTGAGAGCTCCCCACTCACCTTAGATGGATCAAAATAAAAGATGCACCGCTTAGCACAGAAAGTTTTACACATCTATAGCCACTACCATCGTGAACGGTTCATTACCTGGATCACGACACCACTTCCCAACGTCGCGTGCGAATCTACTTGCCGTATCTTCGCATGACAATCGCGGAAATCCAGTTCGACGATCTTCCGATGGATCTCAACTTGACCAAAAACGGCAGGCTCCTCTCGCGTGGCTGTATCAGGACCTCCATGCACGAAACTTGAATCGTTGTTGTAAAATCTACGATAAAAATTACATGATTGAAAAACAGAAAAACCTCAACTGACGAGAGGATATACCTATGCAGATGCGCAGGGGCTTTATTCAATACCGTGTAATACTGGCGAACAAATTCCAGTCCGACAACTTTGGGCGTCGGAGGTGGATCCATAATCATAGCTGTAAATATACGCGGCTATCACGATCGACAAGGTTCCAGCTAAAATCAGAAATACTCAGTTATCACTTCGAATCGTCGATCTCGCTGAACTTATACCTTCCACCGATGCTCCGCGGTCTCAGTACCTCTTCGACCAATTATGATTCCGTTCAATGCCTTTTCGCAAGAACTTCAAGTTGCTTCGCAGGGATGATAATCTTCAAAAATGCTACCTCCTGTTCAACCGACAAAAAACCCTTCCGTCCTCCAAAATCCTCGATATGATGGTCGTCTCCAAGGCTCCGGATCGACCCACTGGCTTCAATATGAGCTTCGCTCAACAATACAACACCAATGCACTTCGCACAATTAATCACGAGCAATCAAAGAAGGATTAACGAGGAATGCGAACGTTTCCTACGGGCGAACCATATTCAGATATAATGCGAATTCATCCACTTCCCAATTTCCGGAATTATCACACGTTGCTGGAACGAGACAGCACAGCAACTGCACATTCTTCATGCAAAATCAGGAAAGAAGGAAGGGAGCTTTATCATCATTAACGTCAAGTTCGCAGTATTGACACGGTAACGAAGTCCGCTGAGATCACCAGCACGGACGTAACATTTTCAAGTCACTTGCATAGATCAACGTATGTCCCTCATCAAAACGTCATGCAATAGCCACAACTTGTTCCGCACCACCACATACGCCTGCGCTCATCCGAAATTCAACGTATTCTTCAACGATGTCCCACTACCGTTTCACCTTGGACTTTCTAGTTTCTGTTGAGGAATTGTTAATATAGTCCGCAAAATGGCCGTCACTTTCCGAACGCGTGTGGTAAGTTTCTGAATCGCAGGAGTGCTTCGATTTTGTAGCAGGGGTAGTCAGACCCTTCAGAAAACTCAACAGGAACTGCATGCCAAATACTGTACGCAATTCGACAATAAGTTGTGTAGTATTAGCGGCATCATTTCATTTAACCAGCAAGGATTTTAGTTCGAAGGTCATCAAACATGTATTTGAGATTGTTTCCTGCTTTTTGTGCAACTGGAATGCCACCGAAATAAAAAATATTGTACATCTCTAATTCTGAAGAGCAGTGCATTCAACATCCCATGCCAATGGTCATAACCTAGCAATAATGTTGGCCAAGTAACCAGAGTTGCATTTTCTGTTCAATATTCCCAAGACTCCCTGATTGTGACTTGAATCTAACTCATCGAAGTATTGACACAGTTTCTGTGAACATTTCACATGCATCAAACATCCTCCAAACACTTCACCAGTCCTTCTCTTCATAATAATATGTCCATCATCATAGTCAATTCATTTTTGTGTCTATTGTCATCAATACTTTCTGGTGTTCCCTCACACCTAGCAGACAATGCTTTGTGCAGTCACATTGCCTGCCTGTCTCCCATCCTTGTGACGTGATCAAGCCACCAAGTCATGCGCCAAGGGTTATGCAACCCTCCCCAAAATAAGGTCAGATCTGGGTCTGACCACAATTGCACAACTCTTATGGTCTGAGTCTATAAAGCCACCTGTTCTTTCTAGTATGCACACTCATTGCTGTCTGGTCATTGTTTGAGTCTGTCACACATATTTGTCAAAAATGGGATAAAGCTTTCACTCATTTTTCTTCTTGAGGAGTTATTGAATTCACAACCTGGTAACAGGAATAAGAAAATCTCCTCATCATAGATATTGTCATATTAGTTATTAATAAGCTTGCAACAGTGAGTTTAAGTGGATTAGAATTTGGAGACATTCAAGTTTGACCTTTGCTCAAGATCTAAAAATAACTGATATCTGACAACACTATCAACATAATTCCATCATTGCTATAAGGGCTGCCAAGTCCAAGCAAGCAACTCTATCCTACAAGCTTTGGGTGCCCAGGTGTGTGCTGGCTGGGCACCCCCAGCCAGTAGCGGCCTTAGGGTGGGGCAAGAGGGGCGGCCGCCCCAGGCCCAGCGCTTCAGGGGGCCCCGCACTTGTGAGGGCCCCGCTGTCCTGTGGCTCTGAAAATTGGCTGTCCCTCTCAAACTTTTTTCCACTTGCCTTGAAACTGGAAGAAGTGGGGTCCCCTTCCAAAAGGACTAGATTATTATTACCTCTTTACAAAGTTTGCTGACAATAAGTAATCTGATCTATAAGTAAAGGAGAACAGAGCCAAAAATGAATTCAGAAGAATATTGGCATATAGAAGCTTTCCTAGAGCATATACATTTTTCAATCTTAAGTGAAATTTCTGTTGAAGATAAATTCATTTTCACAGTTTATAAGGTCTTGTTGAGTTCTTATCAAAAATCATTTGAAATAGAAACAATGCATCATGAATTGTAAATAACCATTAAATAATGGCAACCTTCAATGTTAAACTTTCCCATTTAGTTTATGTATAAAGATGATCAAATGTGCAGTCAATATCTCTAAAAATGTGATGATCAAGATTACAATGAAATTCACATTCATTCATCATGACTTCAGAGTAAATATGCTGCTTTCTATATTACAGATAGAACAATATTTTTGCTGGACACCTTGCTAGAGCATGAACTTTATTGATATTAATTATCTTCTGCAATTGCATTTCCAGTGTATCCCTAGCAAACCCCACAAGAACAATTCCTGTTCAAATAAAGTTTTGGATCTACAGCTAGTCCCTTAATATTGCTAGTAAAATTATTCTGCAGTAATATATTTCTGTTACAAAATGGGGGCCAAACTTCAGAGCAGATGTTCCAAAAAATAAGAAAAATACTATTTGTGTTGTTTTTAAAAACAGATAAGCTACATTTCTACATGTTGGTGATGTGTGAAGTAACAATTACAAGAATTTTAGAAAATCATTTTCTCAATCAACCTAAACACACATTGGGCCATAATCCTAAAACTTGAAGACTGCCATGAAAATTTTTTCAATGTCCATTCAAATTCAACCTGAAGATAATCAGCAGTAAAACTGATGCACATACATTTGCCAGAATCACACATGCAAAAAATTGTATTTAATCTGCAGAATTTTAAGATCAACAAATGCTGAGCAGCTTAATTTGGTCTCAGGAAGATGATAACCATATTGAGTTTTGATTAGCTGCACTTATTTTTGGCAGTAATTATCATTGCTATTCTAGTAATTTCATTGACAATGGCCATTTTGGTTGGTTATTGTAAATTTTGAATATTTGAATGTACAACCAATTTAGCCAAAACAAAACATTCTACATTTAAAAAAGTAAGAGACAATACAGTACAAGTAATTGAAATACATTCTAAAAATTTAATTTAGCAACTTGCAAAAGACCATTTTATAGCTTTAAAGAAACTTAATTGAATTTTCAGCTTTACTTTAAGTTAAACCTTATTTTTCATTGTTCAAATGCTGTTCAAGAATTGGCAGATTTTTAAGGGGCCCCACATTTGACATGTCTGCCCCAGGCCCCACAAAGCCTAGGGCCGTCTCGTTCTGCCCCCAGCTTGTAGTCTAAGTGTCCTTCCATCAGAATTTAGGCCCATTAAAATCTAATTGGAAGCCCAACCAACACAGCATTGGCCCAGAAATTGCAAATCACATCTTTGGAACAGTTTTTGTAAGATTTGACAAATTTGCTCTGATGAGAGAAGTTCATGTTTTTATTGGTTGCCCAGCCATCCTGCTAAGCATCATTTGCAAAATTTACAACATCTAGAAAAATTTCAGAAGGAGAATAGATTGTATGTACAAAGATACTGATTTGTTCTGCACTGATTCATTCTGACCCTTGGCACTTCTGAAACCCACGGGTCAGAAGTGCCAGCATGTCCCACCCGGCACATGAGCAATTTTTTCCATATATGATCCCCAGCAGGGTTTCTGGGACTATCTCCATCTCTGCAAAATAATTTTCCTTTGATCCTTTTTTGGACTCTAGGTCACATATGCTCCAAGTGGTTCTTAGCCACTTATTGTACCTGGCCAATACAAGCATCTAAATACCAGTATAGTTTTTTAAATTCTGCAATGACAGTTTCTAGTCAGAAAAAGAACAATTCCTCCTCCTTCTCCCACCTTGCTAATGGCTCCAGAATTTGGATCTAAAAAGCAAATCTATCTTGATAGCAACAAAACGCTCACCTTCAGATGTATTATTATTCCTCTTAGATTAATTTGGTTGATGGAATGATCCATCCTCCCTTTTCCCAGTGTCCTTCCATCAGAATTGAGACCCATTGATTTCTAAGTGGAAGCCAACCCAACACAGCATTGGCACAGAAATTGCCAATGGTGCAAAAGCATGAGTTTTTATATCTGGTCAAGCCTGTGGATTACCTCAGGAAAAACTAAAATTCTACATGCATATAGAGGTACCTCATCTGCTCCAAGAATAATCATTCTACTTGCCAGATCTCAGTGCTTGGTTAAGACCTATACACTGGGGTTCAGGACTGTGACTTACCTATCCCTGACTGGACTCTGGAGCTGTCCATGCATCCCTGATGGTGAGCAGAATTCTGTCAAATTTATTTAAAGAAATTACGTGAATTTCCTTAAAAAAAACTTTCCCTGTAATTTATAGCAATGAATATCAAATAAATATTAAAAATATTTTCAATGCTCTTAAAATACAGCACTGCATAGTATACTTTATAACATGAAATTTTATGCAGCAGTTTTTTATAATATTTAATATCCAACTAAATAATGGAAACATGAATGGGATAAAAATACTAGAATAATTCACTTAAACTTGCTGGTTGCATGTTCAATGCACAATTTTTATCCAATATTAAATTTATAATTACAGTATAACTGAGCTGAGTATTGAATAAGATTCATGTGTATGTGAGAATATTTCAACTACAAGTGAACCTTGATAACTCAAACCTCCCAAATTCAAATACTCACCTGTCATTTTTTTCAGGTTCCCATCTGAATCCCCTTAGAAGCAATACATGAAAAACCTCCTTAAGTTGAAGGCTGTCCCCTCAAACCTCCATATCCCTCACTGGGTGGCATTTCTTTCTGCATTCCTGGCATAGGATTAGCATGGAAGATTCCTGAAAACAAAAGAGAATTGATTGCCCGGATTTTTCCTGACCTTCTCAACCTGGGAGCATTTCAGCAACTTTTGGTCAAACTGAAATGCTCCACTCTGCAAAAATATCCCAACTTTGCCTCAAAATCATAATTAGCCCTCCAGCTTCTGAGGGTTAAGAAGCCATTTATGCTCCAGAATATCACCATTTACAATATTTTGCAATTTTTCCAAGTTTCCCAGAAAAAAGGGCTTTATACTTTAGCTCAAACCTCAAAACCTCCACGAGTCAAAACCTCCTCAAGTCAATTTTTTTGTGGTTCCCTTGAAATTTGACTCACAAGAGTTTTGACTGTATATTTAACAGTAAGGTAGTGTGATCAGCATCCAA